TTCACAATGAGTAGGTACAACAGTATGCGATAATCAACGTTAACCTGTTTTAAAGACGGTTTAAAAAACTTATCAATGAATACATTTAAACGATCTGATTTAATACACCCACTCAGTTAATGTCTTTTTTCCACAACAAATCGGACGTTTGTTGTTTCAAGACTGACCTTAACCAAATATTTGTCAGACTAATTCAATAATCGCATTAGTAAGCTCATTTTTTTTCCCAATGGTTAGTGTGATATTTCAGTGCAAGCAATAAACATGGATGAAATTCTCAACTGCTAATCAAATATGGCTCCGGTGTAGTGATGAATGTTGATTAGTGACAAAGAATGACCTGCAGCAGCCTTAATAGATCTACCGAACATCGAAGAAGAACTTACGGAACTCCGAATCGATGTTGACCAACCAACTTAGAACTGGGTATGTACGTACATCAGTTCAAATTGTCATATTAGTACCATCACAGGGTTGGTTGGAATTGTCAATTCTAATCCCATAGTAGTAGAGGTAGTAGTAAGTATTAGTGGTAGTGGTGAAGATTAAGGTTCAAATATATGATTTGAAAAGTATATAAAAAATGAAATAAATCTAAAAAGAGAGGGCATGACGAATTCAGAAGGTTAGACTTTCATAGAAAGACAAAGAATGGAAGCATCTGACTCATTGGGAAACGGTTTTTAGACATGTCTTTCAGTCTCTAACCATCGGTTACGTTTATCCTCGGCGGACCCCAACACGGTATTCTACACTTACCAAACATGACTCAGTCCACCTACTTCATAGATTTGTCCCATGTTTCGTTTTGGCCACCTCTAGCTTTCTTTCAGTCTGTGACTACATCAGAAAACATCGCTCATTGTGGCAGTCGGTGGTTACGTATTCGTAAACACATATCCCAGCCCACCTCAACTGATGAATGTTTCACTACTGCATCAACTGATCTGGCCATCCTAACCTAGAACCCTTTTCCTAACCCCAGCATTGCTAACGCTTCTAAGACACCTATGATAGAATACCAGTAAGTTACGAATATCCTCTACTCTTACTAACCATAGTTTCACATCCATATAATAGGACATAAAGTACTGATGCTCAGTAAACCTGTTCTTTGGTTGGTAGAAGAATTTCTCACTTACGCCATTAGTGAGGTAAGTTAGCAAAAGACCAGTCCTTCTGCATCCGTGCTGAGATTTCGTCAGTCACCAGGCCATCGGCACTGATGAGACTCCCGAGATAAGTGAATCGGTCAACATACTCGACGACTACAACCCCTATTACTAGTTCAAGCGCCTACTCAACTCGATCCTGAAGCAAAAATTTGCATATCGAGGGGGAAAAATTGCATCCCAATCATACTTGCATTATTGCTCAAGGTGGCTCGAAGACTGTGCACCACTTAATCAGTGTCATGTGCAGATATCAAGTAAATATCCTAGAAGGTCAATATCTGATAAGTTAAATGATGGGTGCTAGATTTAGAGCAAGTCAATAATAAAGCAGAATAAGAAGTGGGAGAGTGGACAATCCTGAAGAACACCATTCAAGGTATTCAATTCCGATAACAGTTTGCCATAGGCTCTCTCTCGATCGGTATTATTCGAGTGAAGAGCCTGTGTAAGGTTAATGCACTTCTTTCGTACAACCTTCATTGACAGATACCGCCTAGAACCTCATGATCAACAAAGTCAAACGACACATTAAGGTCAAGGAATACAAATAATGTAGGATGCCTCAATGTGTGTTTGTGTTCTAACACCAGCAAAAGTGTGAATATGAGGTCTATACAGTCACGTTCAGGTCACAAACCAACCTGGTTTTCTCTAGTCTGCTCTTCATGAGTTCTAGTTAGTAGTCGAAGTATTAATGAAGCAAATATTTTAGGCACAATATTAGTCAATGTGATTTCTCTGTAAATGTCACAAGAGGACTTCAGTACTTTTTTATAGATCGGGACAATCAGTGTTTGAGACCAGTAGTTACCTATTACGTCCGATTCTCAGATACTATCAAAGATCTCACTGCTAGGACTGGACCGCCATCTTTCAGAATTTCAAGGGTCAAGCATGGCCACGCATGACCAGCCTCAAGAGTTTGTCCCGTATGGTCTGCGGTAGATCAAGGCGAATCTACCTCGGTGTTCAGGTTCCTGAAGAGACACTCTACCACGGGGTGGAAAACCGGGAAAGTAACATCCGACCTCATACCCGTAACGGCACACGAGAACAAATCGGTCACAATCAAATCCTCCTTACACCTCCTACCATCTATCTTATCTCCACGACTCACCCACATCACCATGCATCGCCAATCCAAAAGATTCGAGTTCACGAAACGTTATTCCTGGTCTACTGAAACCCGGCTCTAAACTGCATATTGGAGACTTTAATGTTCGAACATGTGTCAAATAAAGCAAAAGGACTCCGGAATCTCGTACCATTCATGTGTGTTGACTATCCAAAACACGCATCTAGGACCCAAGCACAACCATTAATTTAATTTCACATTTGCTAGATAAAGAATCGGCTCGGTTTAGTATGGTAGAGTATTAAGTCCTAGGTTAGAACTACTATCTCTCTTAGACTGGGTCCTAGTACCAATTCGCTTGTGAGCCGTCAGACTGAACCGGACAGTAAGGACTCGGAAAGGTAGGAACAATCGCCGTTGCTTCTTCTTCGAATCTGCTGACGCTACCGAAAGCAAGAGTGATGGAAAAGGCTGTTATTCATTCTCAATCCAAAAGATTGGATTGATGTGCGGAGCACTTTAGGGATCGGTTCAACTGGGCTTCAGCCACTCTTCGGTTGCCTATGATCTCCAGTCCTCTTTAATG